AGTTATCAATACTATTTTTTTAAAATAACATATTGTTGCTCTTTATACTAGTCAAATATAAGTAGATTTTATTCTAGAATAGATAGAATAGATTTCACCAAGAATAGTTTAAATTTCTCTCTTACTGTGTATATTTACATTACATTTAAAGGTATTTTTATATTTTGTTCTATGAAATTGGATTTGATATTTTTCAATTATTTATAACCCTTTTTAGGACCTGAAAATACAGTTGGAAAATTAACTCAAATGAGGTTTATGAAATGTATGAATTGCATTGCTGGCATTTTTATCCGAAATCATAAATAATAAAGTTGTGTTCTGGTTTATTTCACTTCCGGGGTGAATCTTTGGCATGTTCAGTTTTGCTCGCACCTTAACTGCGCCAGTCAGGTGCAGAATTGCTTCACGTAAGACTGAATTGACTTTTCATGGGAATTATTTTCATACAATATTGTTTTTGCTGACTAGACAATGTGCCAAAAGGGAAAACAATAAATAATAGATAAAGGTCTTTTGTATGCTAGAGTGCCGTGCCAATGTAGTAGCCTCTGCATCTGCGCCAGTGTTGATAGGGGCATTGTTCTGCTCTGTCCATTGGGGCATTTCCTACTTCACGTTCTGTGCTGAAGATCCAAAAATAGTCCCTCAGATTCACCCTAGTGTCACTGGATTACAGTTCTTATGAAACACCTTTTCTTTATTAAAGATGTTTTTATTTTTAATATCTAATTGCATTATAACATTAAAGTAGAATATTAATTTGTTCTGTGAAAGTTATTAATTAGTTGCAGGATTAACCATGAGAATGATAAGGTTTACATATTATTACAAATGCCATTATAACTTATAAAGATGTTCTACTTTTATCTGAATTGATGTCTTATTTTTGTTTGGAACTTCATAACAGAATTGATTGCTGATTTTATGAGTCTAGACACTTTCTATTACAAAAAATGACAGGTTCATGTAAATTAATACATATGGCACAGTCATACTGTCAAGGTCAGATTAAAAAGAAAGTATTTATTTTTCAGTTATGGTACTTATCGAGTATAGGAGTGCATCAGGCAACACCTTGGCCCTGTTTTTTTGAGCTCCATTAAAGTTCAACAAATCTCCACCATTATGTTCTGGTAAGTATAGGCTTGAACTGAATCTCTATTTGACAATTGATCACCAAGGATCTTTATAAATGCAATCCTGTAAGAATATGTATGGGGGATGATTGTTAAATATTGCCAGAACAGGAAAGTGAATATTGCAGCTTCTCTTGATGTGTAGAATTGCACTCTTTGAATTGTGGCTTATCTTTATTTTACTATGATGATTTTTATACCTGTAGTGATAATTATATTTTCTCTTTGTTTGTGGATAATTACTTAGTTATAAAATCATCATAGATTTCCTTTTTACATCATGATGGTGTCAATGAATAAAAAAAATTAAATGTTTCAGGTATTGAAAGGAAAGAGAACCTGCAGTCTACGTGATGTCAAGCAATAACCGAGGAGGTGGTGGTCGAGGAGGAGGTTGGAGAGGCAGAGGAGGTGGTGGAGGAGGAGGAGGAGGAGGATGGAGAGGCAGAGGAGGTGGTGGAGGATGGAGGGGAAGAGGTGGATGGAGAGGAGGTGGAGGAGGAGGAGGCTGGAGGGAGGTGGAAGGGGATGGAGGGGAGGCGGAGGGAACTGGCGAGGTACCGTGATATTATTGGCTTTACATTTACACTGAATGAGAAATAAATATGGTATATACATAACATTACAAAATTCTATTAATGATAAATCACTTGTGAAGCTTTATCATTATACAAGATTGGGTGTAAGTATGATCTTCAATTAGGAAAAAAAATCTTTCTCAACAGGTGGGGGTATGATGCCTCCACCAGGTTCTCAGAGCTCACAAAACGACACTCTGATGAGGGCTGGGTCATCACAGCCACAGATAACAACAATGCTACCGGCTGTTCCAACGCCATATAAGGGTTGGCACCTCTACATGAATGAAGGTGTGTGTATGAGCTATATGACTGATGTCTTTTATGGATTATAGATAAGGGATTTTTTTTTTCTTCATTCAGGTAGGAAATTATTTGAAAATGTGGTTTCTTTGATAAAACTTTTGATTTTACAAATGTGAGGATAAATTTTTATTATTTTTCTTCTCATCAAGGCTATAGTGATGGTTCAGAGACAGTGAGATTTGTTCAAGCTTTCGAGGAGTATTTTTCAAGGCTACGACCAACGCTCCAGCGGTCAGAGATCGAGGACCGACGGGCCTTCCATGTTAATTTGAAGGTCCTTTTGGAGGATGAACCGGTAAAGGAAAAGATCCAGGAACTCTCTGATTTGGTGCTAAACAGTCCTCAGAGGATCATATCTTGCCTAGGCCTGGCGTTACATCAGGTGATACACAATTTGGCTTTGTAAATAGATTTTGGGACAGTCCCTGACATATGTTTACAAAGAAATGAAAGCTGTTCATATACATTATACACTACCTTTTATTCATGTCCATATCTTATATTTTTCATATCTGACACTAAAGTTGTCTTTACTGGCTAGTAATAAGATATACATATTACTTCATTTACACAGAAAAATAGAAGATGAATATACAAATTAAGAGGTTATTTATGTTGGTCAACTTTAAAACTTGATAAGATATATTTGTTGCATGCAAACAGTCCTTGATTATCAATCAATGTGTAGGTTCCAATAGGAATGTGTTTTTTTTTTTAGCTATAGGCCATAGTCAATTTGACATGTAGACCATGATATGTTCTTTGTCTTAGGGAAAGACTTCATGAATGAGGGAAAAGGAGATATAATAAAAAGAATGAAGTATGGGGAGAGAGAGCAGGAAAGTCAAAAGAGGAGATAGTAAAGGAAGCAAGGGCCAAAAAGGGAAAGACAGACGGAACTTTCCAAATTTAGAAAATAGAAATTGAGTCTGATGTTTATTCTAAAAATCCAACATTATTATTTTCATTACTAACAAGACAGTAGAGAAAGAAAGTATTATATTTCCTGATTTATCACCTCTCAGCTCATGACTAAAGAAGTAGAGGCAGAACTGCGAGAGGAAGCAGCAGAGGTGTTGGCTGGTGGAGGTGAGAGGGTCGACGAAGCTGCCCTGAAGGCGTTAGTCCCGGAAGCAGACTTGCCTCTCATCCATGCTAGGCTCGTTAACCATTCCAAACTCACTCCGCTGAAAGTACTGAAAGCAAACTATTATGGTGAGATTGTAAAACTTTTTTTTTCTGGTGTAACAACTCATGTTAATAGTAATTTAGCAATGAAAGCTAGCCAAAGGTGAGTTATTTTTCCACTTAACATCTTGTTATTATGTTTGTGAAAGTCCTAGAATGTCATTTTGATGTTTTGGTATGTGCTTTTATATTAGTTATCCCTTATAAACAAGCAGTCAGAGACTTGAAAAAGATATCTAAAAACAAAACCTCATTTCCAGGTAAGCTCGTCAGCATTAAAGGGACAGTGGTACGTGTTGGTAGTATCAAACCCTTGTGTACCAGACTAGCTTTCACGTGCCTTGGATGTGGCACAATACATGGAGTTACCCAGACTGAAGGACGCTATACTGTACCGTCGCTGTGTCCTGTGCAGAACTGTAGGTCTCGATCTTTTGTGCCAGACCGCTCGCACAAGTTGACACACACGGTTGATTGGCAGAGTTTCAGGTTACAAGAGATTATCAGTGATGATCAGGTTAGTGTGAAAGTTGATTTTGGAAGTCATTATTGTAATGAATATCATTTGGGTATAAAGCTTCAGTCAATATACATTTGATTTAAAATGGTGATCTCTTTGAGCAGTTGTTATGATATGTAAACTTGCTCGCTTTCTCATTCTTAAAAATAGATACTAAGATACATAATTTAGTCTTGATGAATTGAGTCTCCAAAAGCGAGACCATCATTATTTTGTAAACATTAGCAGAATGTATTAAAGATGTATATTTTGAAAGCTTCTAAACTGACTGGAGAAATTAATACATTTCTGATAATTACAATGAATGAAAGTATTTATGAAATGGAATAATTACCAGGTTCTGTAAGCTTGATATATACATCTTTGTTGAAAATATAAGAAGTAGCTACAGATATACTTCCATATACTCCATAACAGGTCATATATCTCCTACAATCTTTCTATACATAGAGGAAAAAGACCTTTGATGTGAATCCTTACCATCGTTTATCTCTTACAGAGGGAAGGAGGACGTGTTCCACGGACTGTAGAATGTGAAGTGAGAGAAGACCTGGTGGATTCGTGCGTTCCTGGAGACATGATCAACATAACAGGAATTGTCAAGGTTAATTTCTGTTGATAAGCTGAATGAAGTGATGAATTTTATCTTTATCTGTCGTGATTATTTTTTCTTTTATGTTATAATTTTATTTGCAGTGTGAAGGTGAAATTTTCTAGATATTTCACATGCCATCATGAAAGTAGAATATACATAGAAATAGTATGATTAGGTTGGTAGACTGTTTGATAAGGAATCTTTATTTAACATGATGGCCCCAGATGACAAGAATACACACCATGTTCACTGTGATTTACTTTTTTAATTGCTTTTACACAGGGATGGCTCCACAATTGCTTAGTCACCAAGAAGTCAGTTATTAGTCTTACCTTCATCACTTATTTACCCTTTTTCTGGTTTGTGAGAGATTCATTTTAGGACTATTATTTTTATTGTTATTAGTGTTCTGATAGCGTTATGATAATCATAATGCCAGTAATAATAAAGTATCAATATTAATAGCATAAGGCACAGTCACTAGAGCCCACTAATGATTCCTTGGTGGCTGAGCATTTGTGAAGTAATCTGTGTGCAAGAAAATTCACTAAACTGCCTTGTAAAACTAAGCAAAACTTCCTGTTTAGGTTAGCCAAAGTCAAGAAGGCAAGGGAAACAAAGGAGACAAATGTATGTTCACGTTATACATTGATGCCTCGTCTGTGACAAACTGTAAGTCAGGGGATGATGCCGCATCAGCGGTTGGGATTGAGTTCAGCATCAAGGACTATTATGCTATACAGGTATTTTCTGTTGTATGGAAACACTTCTATAACATTTTGTTATTTTATATATGTGTGTATGTAACAATATATCTATCTCGATCTTCATTTTGAAGGAGCAGAGGAGACAAAAATATTGTGATTACAGTATAGTATTTTTTAATTACATTTTTGTGTGATAAAAACAAGAAGTTGATGAAAGATAAACCTGTTTTACTCAACTTGACTTGCCTCACAGGAAATTCAAGCAGAGCCTCAGCTTTTCAAAGTTCTAGTCGGATCTCTATGCCCGGCTATATACGGGCATGAACTCGTCAAAGCTGGTCTCTTACTCTGCCTTTTCGGAGGATGCTCCAAGACAGGGGGAGACCGTGTTCCAGTGAGAGGGGATCCACATATTCTTGTGGTGGGAGATCCTGGTCTCGGAAAGAGTCAGATGTTGCAGGCCTGTTCAAATGTGGCTCCAAGAGGTTGGCTATTCCCTTATACTCATAATTTGTAATGTTTCATATAAAAAAGAAGGCAGTCAGATTCCTGAGTCTTATGTTTTATATTTTTTCTTCATGGTTACTTAGATAATTATATCACCAGGTGTGTATGTCTGTGGAAATACCACCACAACATCGGGTTTGACTGTAACCCTGAGTCGCGAAGGCGGGACAGGAGATTATGCACTAGAAGGTGGAGCTCTTGTAATGGCTGACCAAGGAGTATGCTGTATTGATGAATTTGATAAGATGACGAACCAGCACCAGGTATGTGTGTCATGTTTTTGTGAACTGGGAGAATCATATTAAAATTGCTAGATGGATGTCATGAACTTCGGGGTTTAATTAGATGTTTGAAGGGGAAATGATATGCTTTTTTTCCCTCTCATTGCATTATTAGATTCTTCATTTCAGAAAAGAATTCAGCTACTTTTGTTCTAGTTTTAGAGCTCTTACCATAGGAAACTCACTGTATATTTTAAGCCCACATTTATTATTTTTCTAGGCACTTTTAGAAGCGATGGAGCAGCAGAGCATAAGTATTGCCAAGGCTGGTATTGTGTGTTCCCTTCCGGCCAGGACATCTATCCTTGCTGCTGCCAACCCCATTGGTGGCCATTACAACAAGGCCAAGACGGTATCAGAGAACCTCAAGATGAACAGTGCTTTGCTCTCAAGGTTCGACTTGGTCTTCATCCTGCTTGATAAGCCTGATGAGGTAAAGTACTGAAAATTTCAGTGTATTGATATCAGTGTTCAGTGTAATGTTCTCACCTTAGGAGGGCAAACCACAAAATGTGGAAAGTTTTATGCATTCTTCATGTTATAACCTCTACCAAGGAGGTTGTGTATTTTGTAGCATTGGTTGGCTAGTTAGTTTGTTGGTTGGTTAGCTGAATAACACAATTTTTTATGGATTTTTTTACCAGAGGTGTTTTAAAAGCATTTAAGAACAAAATATGCAATGCACAGCTTGTGAGGATGAGTAGGATGCATTCTGTATTCTTGAAAGTGATTATTCATATGGGTATTCTACTGTGAAATCTTTAAAAGTACACTTCTGTTTGAAGCTTTATGAATGTCTTTTATCTTTATCTGCAGTGAAAAACATTAACTTAAATTATAAAAGAAGGAATGATTCTTTTATGATATAATTTATCACATGCTGTAAAAAAATAAATGTTGATAAAATCCCTATTCACAATACACTGATATTCAATGTGCTTCTTTCCAGGAACTTGACTGCCTGTTATCTGAGCATGTGATGGCCCTCCACAGTCGACTAGGCAAGCAGGCCAATGTTTTCCTTGAGGGTGGTCGAGTGAGAAAGGAGGATCTCTTAGATTCTTCGAGTATCATTGACTCCGAGCAGCCTTTGAGGTATGTAGAAGTTCGATGTTTAGTTTTTTTGACTTTTCGATTTCTCACACTCACTCTGATGAAAATCACACCCTTTTATCTAGACCCTAGTGTTTTATCTCTCTCTCTCTCTCTCTCTCTCTCTCTCTCTCTCTCTCTCTCTCTCTCTCTCTCTCTCTCTCTCTCTCTCTCTCTCTCTCTCTCTCTCTCTCTCTCTCTCTCTCTCTCTCTTTTTTTTCCAAAATTGACTTAATTTCTGAACTTAATTTCTGAAGGCAAAGTGTACTGCAAATAATAATGATAATCCCCTTGCAGTGAGAGACTCAAGCATCGAAGCAATGAACCATTTGAACCTATTCCCCACCACCTCCTTCGCAAGTACATTTGTTATGCAAGAAAGTATGTCCAACCGAAAATAACAAAAGGTGCGGCGAAAATCATCCAGCAGTTCTACCTGGACCTCCGGCAGCGACACCAGAATGCCAACTCGACGCCCATTACTACAAGGCAGCTTGAATCATTGATAAGGCTGACGGAGGTATGTAGTTCTTGAAATTGTTTCCTTTTCCAATTTTTTTTTATTGATTTGTATATTTATACTTATG